TTCACAGTCAGACACTGTCACAAAACTTCACAGTCGACAGAGTCAAATGCCACCTTCAGGTCAAGAAATATGACAAGTGTCGGCTGTCGGTAGATAAGCGTGTGTTCTGGAACCTGTCGGAGGGTGAAAATATGGCAGATGCATCCCCGTCTAGCCGTGTCTGAAGCCTGCCTAGTTTTCTCGACTTAGCTGTTCTCGAGCACCAGTTAGACGTCAGATAACTATGCACTCTGGGATCTTGGACACAATATAAGTCAAACTAATCCTCCAATGGTTATCACAAGTAAACTTCTCTTCCTTCTTATGAACTAGGATGATCAGTGAGGTAGAACAACCTGATGGTACTACTTCTAATTACCACACAAGCTGGATATTGAGAAACGGAAGCGTTGCTGAAGCCCATTGGGACTGTACTTTGAAGTCTTCTGCCTAACGTTGTAGCCACCTTTCCGGGGAGGTTATCGGCGTTCCATCCTTTTCGGTGGTGGTTTCACTTACCATCGTCTTCTTGTTGCTATCCTTAATCAATCCAAACAGTTGCTGAGTGTTACCCAACGCTACTGCCTTTCTCCATCTCTCTCGCTTTTGTCACCCACTACTGCTCGTGGTCGATGCGAAGTCTCTTGGTCAATTTACGTTTGAGTTGATTTTGGGCTTCATCGTGGTTAGAGCCAGGAATCAGTCTTCTCGCATCAGTGAGTTGGGATGACGTTGAGGAAATCCAATGTTGTTTGTTGACCTTCGGGTATATGTTAACAGTTGTCTTTACCGCTGTTTCTTTAGTAGACAGTGTCACGCCAGGTTTCCTCAAATGAGCACTGCTGTCATGTTCAGATAAATGCTTAGATAACTTCTCCCTAAATGCGTACTTGGCGTCCTCATTTTTTAATCGTGTGCACATAGGCTTCACTGCCGTCTTTCTCCTTCAATTAGTAAGGCACAGACACACACGAACCCGCACACGTAATCGGAGTCCAGACTGCTACTCCAGAAAGAGCGGCAGTTCTCCACTGATCCTCTCCAGCGACGACTTATAGCAATGTAATCTATGACCATCGTGGATTTGAAGTCGGTGGATGCTGAGACACTATCTGTCCTTATGCTTGGAGATATTGCTGGCTGAAAACCGGAGATTGTCGGGCCAACATCACAATAGACAATCCGCGTTGTCAGTTCGTCAGCATGTGATTCCGTAAATACCCCCAGGATGCTTTCCCGATAAGTTCAGCTTCCCTACTTCAGCGTTAAAGTCACGTGTCATTATGGCTACGTCTGAACTAATTGGTTTCTTTAGCAAAATTGACACCTTTTCGTAGAATTCGTCCTTTGCATCGTCCAAACTCTGCGCAGGAAGAGATTACGAGTAGGCATCGTCTAGTCTCACAATCCTTCCTAGTCCATACAGCTCCATTCAGTCGAACAGCACATAAACGGCTGTCTACATGTAGGTATCCAGTGGAGAAGCTCACTTTCTACTCTACAACTCATTGCCATACCTACACTGGCGATTTCACGAGAACTAGTCACTGCGTTTCCGGATACTCTTTAGCTGAATTTTGAAGATTCACTACTATGGTCAGGTCAATTTAATAACCACACTCGGGTCCCGTGTACGTGTCTTAGAGACGCAGCATACATCCATGGCCTGAAATCCCAGAGTTCTGGCGAGCGATGTTTGCTGTCTCGTTTGGTGTAGAGTCCAAACGTTGGAAGCTACTACATGAAATCGATGGCGGGGTCTTAGGAGACTAGGAATGAGGTATCGATGACTTTGATTGTTGACAATGGTTGCAGAGTGAGATGTTGGGTACGGTGTAGGACGCCTAATATTAGAATGAGGAGGTAAAGACAAAGAAGGAGATAGAGTTGAGGAGGGTGTGTTATGTTTGATTGTATCTTGTGTACTTCTGGAAGCATGTGGGCAGTTGACACTTACTTTCCGGTTGCCCACACCGTGAAAGGGTATTTCTTCTTAAGGTACCTGAAAGAGAAGATTTGTGTGACCTCAGAGTCCATGGGGCATCTGCCTGTCATACGGTTTTGTGGGCCGTTGTTTTTAGATTCGGTTGTTCTAACTCCAGATGGAGAAAACCTATGCCTCCGGCAACGGAAGACCGTGGGGCAGATGGTGTGCTATTTTCGGGGTCGACGTTTTCTAACGCCCTCTTCCTACAGGGTGGTCGTCCAACGGGAACACCTTTCAGCTGTTACACCCCATCCAGCTAGCAACAGTACGACTTCACCCTCAGAACCCCATCATACTGTGGTAATTTACACCAAAAGTGTAACTGCTTTTCATCTTACCACTATTCAACATACCTTTGTGGCATGGTAGGACTTTGGGGGAACAGGGGTCATTGTGATATGCAAGCCCGACCACTACGTCAAAGTTAGCAGCTATTGACCACGAGACCAAGGCGTGACCTGAGTAAAAGTAACAATGTGATAACTAGCTAGTAGCTCTGGTATATATCTTAAATACAGAACTAGTTATTGGCATCCTTCCGATTTCCAGGCGAAGGATATACTGAATACCAATGTTCGTTGTTGATTAACATTACCGACCTCTCATTACGATAATGTTGATTATAACTCATCGCTACTCTGTGACTTTGAGGCCTACACAAAATGCCACATTTAAGTTGCTGGACACGTTCAGTTTTTGTAAAATTTGATTCTACTAAACCGTCAAAGTCGCCAAATGTTAAGACAATGGGGATTTCATGGTACATTTCAATCGTTTTCTCAGTGTGCCAAAATAACCTCCGATAACTGCTCAGCAGTTGCCCTTCGTATACTGCTTAACATCTGTTGTTAATATTACAACCTAATATAAGCGGGAACACTCAAAAACAACCAGCAGTCTGTCACTATCGAAACCGCTTCCGAATCTGTAGCTGTAAAATCTTTCTTGTTAACACGATGAACATCACAGCGTTTAACAACCAAAAATCTAATATTGTGTTTCAGCCGTGAAGGTTGTGTTGCATGTAGTCATCAACAAGATAGTTGGAACTGCGATCCGTCACTTCGATAGTCAAAATGCCTTGCTTCAGATTTACGTTCCATATTTTAGTTTTACACGTACTGCTATACTGGACTTGTGATGTAGTCGAGTGTATCCACATTCCATTGTCAGCGTAAAGCTTCCCTACTACCTTTACGAATAACAACTCAGTTTTAATGCATACTTACCATGAACTGATTGGGATTAAACGTTGCTGTTAACTAAGTTTCCGTGATTGCTATGACATTAGGTTTTAAGTTCATCACCAGAACTCCCAGCTCAGACATTCCTAATACTGTGGACAATCGTGTTGTAAGACTGAGAAATTAAAATGGTAATCTAACTTGTGAATACCAGTCTCAAAGCATTGACTTCCGAGACCTTACTGTCTAGAAACTTGTCGTATGAAATATTTTCACCTCCCATCTGTTGCATTTCATGTACAAAAAATAAAAACGGTGTATGACATTCTCATTTGTTACACGGTAAGAAATACTTCATGTCGCGTTCGCAAAAGTGGAATAAACTTCTGTTGTTCGTTTGTAGCACTACCAATGACCCGTTCATCTCGGGTGCTTCAAGTCAGTGAAGTTGTCAGTAGTCTGAAAGGGTTCAGTATGCAATATTAAACCATTCATCAATCCAAATCAGTCTGGCATTATCGCTTCATGTTTTACAGATACGTAGGCCTTTTAATTTCTTTACAATTTTAGCTCTAGTTTCTCAGAAGACCCCGTATCTTTCCAAACTTTTCCCTTAACAAGGCCCCATCTCTTGCGCCATATGCTGGTCAGTGAATGCTCGTGTAGAAAATCAGTCACTAAGGATTGTGTAGTAGTAACTAATATCACGTAATCGTAAATCGCAGGATTTTGAATAGTGTTGGACAAAGTAATTCTTTTAACCTTATTTACAAACCAGAATCACTGGTGCTTGAAGTCAGCTACACCCAGTTATGTGGAACTGTGGCTCATTAGTTTAAAGAGACGACTTTCAACTAATGCGTCATGAGCTTGAACCGCGCCCCAACTACCTGGGTTTGGGCAACCAGGTAGTATCATTGGCTCTCACAATATGTATGACTCATTGCCTGCTACACGAATCCGCGCAAGGTTGATGAGTAAATAAAAAAATATCCTGTTATGGTCACAGGATAAACTAACGTATTGATTAGTTTGGCTGATCTTTATTGACCACTCTGAAATAGTTGTGATAGTGAACCATTGAGATATTCTAATGCACTTTGAAACTACCCTCAGTGTTCCAGATTTGTGTATTTACTGTCTTCCAAATGATAAGTATATTGCTCTTTGAAACACTGAAAATAACACGCTTAACGAAGAAATATTTTCCAATCAACCCATCATAAACTTTTAAGGTAAAGAAAATATATGGTAGCTTAAAGTTGAGGTGATGAGTCGATTGAAACGTAATAATGTCTCTGTTCAACTTGTTTCATAAATATTACTCTTTACTGATTGATTTCATCTCTATCCTTATTATTTGATTTAATTACCATTATACCTTGCAATTTCTGTCATTTTTCTCTTTTTTGTTCTCATCAATTGTGAAACAGTGCAGTTTTGTGCATGTATCCTTGCAGTCGTCGTAAAGCATCTGACTAGCCTAGCTAGCTGGTTCAGAAGTTAAGTGATTAGAGTTCGGGATAGCTAAACCAAGACATGGCAATAGTCCATGAAGCCTCTGGCTGTTGTTTTCCTTCCATGCATTTTTGTCCACCCTGATATCACTCCTTTTCTGTGCACTTGTTCTTTCCATGCTGCTGTGAAGTGTGGCGGCTTGGACCGATGCACTTTTTTACGGAGTTCTACTTTGATTTTATCTATCTGGCATTTTCTATTACTGTAAATCTTTTTCATTTTTTCGCCTAGTCTCAGCGAGTTACTTACATTTTGCATGCTAACGGTATTCCTTTCTTCAGTATCTTAAAATGTTATTAATTTACTTATTCACATGGAATCGTCTTTTTTAGAATTTAATAATGATGGAAGATATGAGGTTCATGAAGTTGGAGAAACAAAGGGAACTTCTACGCAGCAAACAAAAACAAAAATACGCTCACCAAGTTCTGTCACTTCAGAAACGTTCTGAAAGTGCTGGAATCAACAGCTATAAAGCTAATAAGTGGAATGAAAACTCTGAAGAACAACCCACTTCCAGTACCTCTGTGAAAGACAAAAGCGTGATAGTTGTTATGGTAAGTTTACCCATATGGTCATTATTGAGTTTACCTTGTAGCCGTATATACGAATCGTATTTACATCTTTGTGTGGTTTACATATAGATCTAATCACAGCGGTTCCATACCCATACTCTCTTCAATACAAGTTTGGGCAAAAATCGATGTTTGTAAATTTGCAAGGAGGTAGAATACTCAACTGTTTAGTTTCCATGATATATTATTGTTTACTGTTCGGTAGAAGTAAAATTTACATGACTCACTTGAAGAAAGTAAACAGTAGCATGTCAACAATGATAGTATTGTCTGTTTATGGTAATGTAGTGGGAAAGAAGATATTTAGATTTCATCATAATATACAAGCTAGCTTAATATCATCCATGTATTTTTTATCAGTCGTTGCCACTTGTATGGAATTATTTACTATGATTTACCTCTAATGTTTGTGTTATTTATACTAGTCTCTGTTATATTAGTCGAATTTCTTACATTCCTTGAGTTCATACGGAAGCTAGTCACTTTTGATCGGAATCACTCAGATCACTTTTAGTTAGTGTCAGTTCGCTTTGTTCGAAAAAACATGAGTAGATGCATTCACTTTGTGATTCTTGTAAAGATATGTAAAAAACTGTACTTCTCCAATTATATATTTCTGATCGTAGTGTTTTAATGTGTGCTGCTTTAAAGTGTAGCGAATTGAACACATATTCTTGTCTGATTCTTTTTCATTTACAGTTGTAAAGAATTACTGATGTTGAAATCCAAGGGAAGACTAAACATGCAAAACCCAGAAATAAATAAGTAACCGATCTCCGTAGCATCGGGGACGAATGCTTCTCTTCCCGCCACTACAGCAAGAATGTGTTAGAAGGAGAATTTTTGTATCTGTACAGTGCGACTCGGTGTTGTGAATATAAACTAGTGACCTTATTCTAGAATTCGCTCTGTTACGACTCTGATTAGGAAGCGATTTTCCACTAACTCGAAGCAAAACATTCTAGTGCGTGGTAAATTCAAATGTTTCTCGCTGTCATATGTTGGTCTCATAAAATGACAATGTCAACTTGTGAGAATCTCTGACTACTTTTGTCAAAAAGTCGGATCTGCATTTCCCCCAGTAGTTGAATGTAGCATTCGGTCCTAGTGAACATTCGAGCGGAGGAGGTAAACTAAAGGAATTTGTTGTACATTTTCGTATGAAATACTCAATTTTAGTCTCACTTCCCATCCTTCCCCAAGCAATGTCAAAAACCACCCACTTGAACTTAAAACTTCACTTTTGTAATTCAGCTTCACGGTGATTGAGTCACTATATATTTGAATTCTTTTTAAACAAATTTCTAGCATACGATGGCCCACAAGCTTATGATGCAACCAATCCCGATGGTTTTCCAATCAATGAGGTTCAAGTTATCCGTGTAACATCGAGATCTAGTCCACTACCATCTTTTAATCAATATTTTAACTCCGAACGCGACAGATCAGTTAGCTTGGTAAATGGTGGGAGCTACGAAGACATCAATGTTTTGGGTAATCCTATTACACGTTCAAGCACTATGTTTTCTTCCCTCGATCAAAGCGCTTTCCCTGTTTCTACAGGTAAGTATTTCTCTTTAGGTAAAGTCATTGAATTAGTTTCTGTTACATTTTATTTCCATCTACATATCCATCATCCTATTGTAAAAAATATTTTTAGATCGGTATAATACGTAGCTAAAAGGTAAAAATCTGTGTTTCTTTGTTGTTCATCCGTCTAGGCACTCCATTTTTTGACGGTGGGTCATTTATCAAACTCACCGTCATCTATCATGGCTTTCACTCTCACTTGGTATTTACAAATCACAGCATCATTGCAGTATTTAGTTGATTTTTCTAGCGCATTTCGTAGGAACTAAAAATAAATTTGAGATAGAATTCGAATAATGGTTGTAGGCGTATAGTAAGTCAAAAACTATGTTTGGGAGATGGAGTACATCAACTGGTAAAGTTTTAAACCTCCCAAATACGATATATATTATGATATGTATTTCTCGCTTCTTCGAACTGCCTGCTTCTCAGCATCATATTATCTAACAAACAGATAGACGGACAAAATTAATGTAGAACCTCGTTCAAGTTGACATACTTCACAGGAGTATACAAAGAACAAGTTAACAGAAAAAGACCGATATCAAAGTAAACAAAGGTGTATGAAAGGGGTAGGGATTTAAAAGTGAAGATTAATAAAAGGATTCAAGTTTTGGAAGATGTCGAATAGTAAATACATCTGTGGTTGTCACCGATTTCAGTCACTTCACCAAGAATCGCCAAGCACTGATTTCCGTCACCTTGCAAACCCCAACCAGACAATCTACGCCTCCCTACACGACTGAGACCAACAGTCTGGGATTTCATGGACATGGGCTGATGTCGTGTCTTGGTCTTGCCACCCTCAGTCCAACTCCAACCTAATCCAACTTGTGCAAGCATTGCACGTTGTGGTAGGTGGTGGTGGCTTGGCATGCACAACACCTCGGTCGACGAAGGTTCACACACCTTGTCAACCGACTTGTTTATCTTGTCTAGTACTCTTCACTAAACCTCTTCATTGGTAGGATGGTGGTTCCACTGCACCCTAGTAGTGCTATGAAGACAACTGTGACCAAAAACCTGTAACATCTTTATATCTTCACTCAACGTCCACATCTCAGCCGTATAATAGGAGGGAACGGACTTCAGTGCAGTAAGCTAGTCTCTTAATGTTAGTCATCTCGACACCACGGGAAATGATGCGTGATGGTAAACGAAAGACGCATCACTCTTCTCCGAAATGAGACTTCGTCAGCAACCAGCTGGTTCGTGCTGATGCAGCTCCTCAAGTATGTGAAGTAGTTGATGCATTCTTCCACTTTATTGTCGATCATCAAAATGGGAGTAGTGTCATACCAGATTCGAAGTATCACCCTACTTTTGGCAGATGCGATGGGCACGCCAAACATACTTAGATTTCTGCTGGATGTGTTCAGCAGACTCTGCATTTTGTCAGAGTCCTCATTTAGCTGGACGGTATCCCCTGCGTATTCCGAGTCGACCAGATTTGCTCCACGGAATAAATCAATGCCCGCGGAGTTACACGTATCCGAGGTTGTGTTTGTTAATACGTCTATGACGAGGCTGAAGAGAAGTGGTCACAATGGTCATCCCTGGCTAACATCTCTAGTTGTCGTGAATTCAGATGACAACTCTTCGTTAAGCGTAACAAGTCTGAGTGAGTCCGAGTAGGGTTTTGGTTAGCGTTGTATACTTTTTCGGTACTGCTTTCGAAGCCAGATACTGCCGCAATACCTCACAACCGACAAAGTCAAATGCGCCTTCAGGTCAGGAAATATGACATGTGTCGGCCGTTAGCCGGTAAGTGCACCTGTATTCCAGAACCTTTCGAAGGGTGAAAATCTGATCGATACAGCGTCATCCTGGTCTGAAACCTGCCTGATTTCCAGGGGTTTGTTGTACTTGAGCTACAGTTATGGGTCGGGTAACTATGAGGATCTTGTAAACAATATAAGTTAATCTGATTCCCCTGTGGTTGTTGCAAGAGGATTTGTCTCCCAGTCTGATGAGACTAGCTTTGATTCTCAAAGGTCACCTTGTTCCTCTTTTGTTCTACTGAGCAGTTTCCTACCTCTATCTCCAATAACTTTTGGCGGCGCACTGTCAGTTCCTGGTGCTTCACACCGATCCCGGTTTGAAACAGCCTCCTTAACTTTGAGGAGAGTTGGAAGACCGACATCTGCATCCCATTCAGGTTCGGACTGGATATTGGGTGACTTAAGCGGTACCTTGGACCAATTGAACTGTTCTTCAAGGTGTTCTGTTCAATGTTCTAGCCGTCTGTCCTGAGAGGTTACCAGAATCCTGTCTTTTTCGGTAATGGTCTAACCAATTATCGTCTTCTTCTTGCTAGTATCCTCAAAAGCCCAAATAATTGATCGGTATGATGTATTCTGATGCCTTCTCCGCCCCACTTGGTTTCGCTTCACACCACTGATCGTGATCGTTGTGAATATTGTTAGCTAGTTTTCGTTTCAGCTGCTTTCGCTCGTCACTGTTTGGAATTCGTTTTCTCACATCAGCCGGTCGAGGAAATCTACTGACGTTTGCTGACCTATGTATGTAGGTTACCGACTAACGTTCTTTTCCATTGTTTCTACAGCAGACTGAATGTCGTACCAGGTTTCTTTAGGATGAGGATTGCCGTCACGTTCAGATGAATGCCTAGCCATCTCCTCCCAAAATACGTACTTGATGTTCTCATCTCCCAATCGGGCCCAGACAGGCTGTTTTCTGCGACCGGTTAGGCGTAGGAGTGCACATGCTTTACCAACGCGTGATTAGAGTGCAACAGGTGCTCCAGAAAGAGTGGCGATTCTCCACTGACCCTCTCCAGCGATAGCTTATAGCAATATGATCTAGCTGTGTCCATCGTCGGCTTGATGTTAGTGGATGTCGTGTGAGATAGTGTCTGTCCTCGTGGCTGAAGTAAGTGCTAGCCAGAGGCAAATGATTGTCAGGATAAAGTTGTAAAAGATGACCGGTTTTGGTTCGTTGGCATGGGATCCCGTTAATAATTCTGACATAGTTTTCCGACTGGTTCAGCTTTCTTGAGTGATTGTCCATACGAAAGCTAGAACACCGCATCAAGGTAGCGGCTACCGGTGGGAGTAATATAATCATGAGTTAAATTAGAAATGATGAAGTTTCACAATGTTATTTGTGTGATCATTTCAACTTGCTTCTGTCTGGTCGTGATCTAACTGGATTACCGCAGATGTATCCACACATAGTCTGTTCGTTTATTCATCATAACAAATGTCATGACTGTTTTATACATTTCTTTCCTTTTACAACTTTCCACTACTGACTCTCTGCCGTATTTCTATATCTCTGGACGTGCTGATATGAGGTGTGTGAACTCGTACTGTAATCCAGCAATGACAGATCCCACATTCTGCTGCTGTTCATCACTACAGAACTAGCTCGAAGTTTGTGGAAAAGATTGACATTCTTCTGAAAGTCCTGTCGACTGCTTTTGAGGGAGCTTGATAGAGTCAGTGTTGTATAGTCGGTTCTAGACGGAGTCAAAAGATATAGAAATCAGAATAGCTACTGAAATTAAGAAGTTTCTCATAGATCCCTCTTTTCCGAAGGTAAATTAGAAGGGAAAGGTTCCATTTTTTTCACAGGTAAGCGAAGAAAGTCCTGTCACTAACATGGTACCAACTCTCATGGTATTCTCTATATGCTATTGTCTGATTGTGCGATTACCGGAATATATTTTTCCACTTTTCTGTTGGGTTTGAACTTTTCCATGTATTCCATTAAGCTTCTCATGTACCGTGGGCATTCTTTGCTTTTTATAATTTGTCTCGAATAAGTGTTAGACTCAGTTTGAGGCCGTTTTTCCTCGTTATGTAATTAAAGTCCACAAAATTTAATCTACTACTCAGTGATTTGAAAAGAAACCTTACAGTGTCAGTTTTGTTATCCTAACTTTTTCGTTGAATTTACCATATTATTTTCAATTGTTAGACACCTCTAAATTACTTTCCTGATGCTTTACTTTATTTAGTTATGTTCGTTGTATCTTAGTGAAGTATAGGGGATAGAAATCTGCTATTTCGCGAAACGTTTGTGATAATTGCTCCCTCAATACATTTTTTAAACATTTATTTGTATGTTGTACAAAACCTTTATTTTGTAGAAGGAAGTGACAGTGAAAGTAATGAGCAGAGAGCGAAGACAGAAAATACAAAATTAATGTCTTGTGCAATTGACTGCGAACAAATACAGGGAACACTTCACGATTCTGATATTTCTCTTTATGCGGATAACTGGAATCGAAATATTGCTAAGTGTGGTGATAATTACTCACTTAGCAAGTTTTCTGAAGGTCACTTCGTGGATTTGATCAAGGTAAATAAATATCTGGTATATATGTAGTCGTTTAGTTCTTATATCAGAATCGGTTAAAGGGATCAGAAAGATATACTATTGCGATTCGCAGATTTACTACTGCTTATATTTCACCGGTGCAAGTAAGGAATGAGATCTTGAACTTCATTACTATCATGCATACATGTGAATTTGTGTGACATCCCTTCTTTCCTCGACTATTGTCCATTTCAATGTATTTTCTGGCCCACATCGTTAACATGTCAGAATAATAAAAACACAGCTTTTCCCACTACAAAGTTATTTTTAGCTATTATTTAGCTAAGAATGAAAGTCCTAATATTCTGTTTTCTATCCGATAATTTTATCAATTTTAAAGCAATTACGGAGAAAACATCAATTTCTTCATGGTTACTAATACACCTTAATGCTGAATGCCAACAGGCACGAAATTTTAGGTCCATGAATTCCTGTAGACTGACTCTGGACCAGTAGCTGAAACCTTGACATGGTGGTCGGGCTTGGATATCAGTGACTCAACGAGTCATACTGACTGGAACGCCTGTTCCCTTCGAGGTTCTACCAGGTTCTTAACTTGCAGTGTTTCTTCACATCTCTCGGTCAATATCTTTCAGCTCTTGACAACGATCTGAGTTCATGGGGTAACATAACTGGGAGAAGTCGGACTAGGTTAGAAGAAGGCTCAGACTGATCAGACTAAGACGTGGCACCAGTCCATGAAATCCTTTACTGTTGGTCTGAGGCGTGTAGGGAGGCGTAGACTGTCTAACTGGAGTATGTGAGACGACACAAATCAGTGGTTGAGAACTTTTGGTGACAATGTCGCAGATATATCCACTATTTGATGTCTTCTGAAACTTAAATGATTTAACTAACGTTCAATTTTAAATTTCTTTTCCTTTCATACACCTTTGTCTACGTTGATATCGATCTTTTTTCATCCACTTGTTCTTTGTATACTACTGTGACGTACGTGAAGTTGTATATTGATTTATTCTATCTATTTTTCTGTCGGTTGACTTCCGCCTCCTGACATCAAAATGCAGTACACTGCAATGTGGCATCACTTCACTTGGTGGCCACGTTGCATAATTTGTTCGACAAAACTTCGATCAGTGTTGAGTGTACCGAGTGACTAAACAGCTAGATGCTCTACCTGCTGGTGACCAAGTTTTGTACACACTCCAGTCCTACAGGAGTCAATCGGGGTCTGAATAGCTTGGTAGTTACGTATTTAAATTTAGTACTGAACGATTCAGTTCTAAATGCCATGGAAGCACTAATTTCTACTAGTAACTTCTTTTTACCTTATTTCTCTATTTCTAATCTTGGTACATTCTAACTGGATGTGCTGATCTGAGGTGTGACAACTCTGACTGTGATCCACTAATGTCAGCTCCGACGTTGTTGCTGATGGATCGCTTCTTCTACGACCATTTATGCTGCTTGTACCACTGTTACTGCCAATTCTTCTACTTCTACGTGTCGCTTTAGCGCCGATGTTTTGTCTGACAGTAGCTAGTGAATTGATGGAGCAAGTTAACCAGTTGACTTTTACTGGCGACGTCGGATCGATCATGGTAAATGAGTATCCGATGAGATTTCGCGCTGTTGTGGAAAGTTCGCTTACCTTTGTCAAGTTTTGCCATCTACTGCTCTGTTTTGAAATACGATTGCCTGATATAGATCGAGTTTACTACGTTGGGGCCAGGGAATACTGAGTTAATAACTTTATCATTCAGTTTTTTTCTTACCCCTTTTCTTATTCTTCATCCCTTTCGTGTGTTTAATGTATTTGTCTAGGCTTTGTTTATCCACTTTCTTCACTCTTCAGTATTGCGTAACTTTTATTTTCACAAGCTTTCTATCCACTGTGATTATCGGAGTGTCTACATATTCATGCTGCTTTCTTGGTTCTTATCATCATTATCATCTATATTGCGTGTGCTTTAGTCCACGTTATCACTCTGATCATTATTATTATCATCACCATCGTTATTTTAAAACATTTATCACATCAACCGACAAATCGACATGATTGGTTTAATTATATATATATATATATATATATATATATATATATATATATATATATATATATATATATATATTCTTCGCTTATATGTCTTGTTTGAATTTATATAAAGCATTAGGAATACAATTATTTTAAGTTTCTTTACTATCGCATAACAACTAACATGGTGAACAACAGTAGAAGTCAATATCGTTAATAATTTCCCTTTGTTTAATATATGTTCAGGTACTGAAAACCATGTCAACTGTTATGCGATTGTAGAGAAACCACGAAATGATATCATCTCGTATTATTTGTCTTCGTAATGCCTTATTTGAAGATTAATTGTCTTATATCACACTTTCTATTGTTAATTTATTTGCATGTTTTCAGTTAGCAAAAGGTGAATTAATGATTGATTTTCTCGCTTCGATTGAGAATAAACAACTGCTGAAATTCAACACAGCAGAGTCAGTCAGAACGATTCCACATATACATATTCACCCAATACCTATATACTTTGTAGCGTACTGTAAAAAGCACAAAGAAAAAAATGATTCTTGGAATTATGCTGATCATAAACAAATAATTGTTTATCCTCCTATGCATATAAAAAAAGTTGTGCAGTACGAAATATGCAATAATCAACGAAGTCAACTGACTAAAAGGCTAATAAATGAGGCTGTTGATCACAAAAGTTGTTCAGTAGGCCATCTCTTCGTTTGTTATTAGGTTCAACTTTTATTAATTCGTTTCCTTTTCTTCTGCTTACGCGATTGGTTAGTGAATGAGTTATTGAAATTGAGTTTATAAAATTCTATTATTTTTTAGACAAATGTTAGTCAAGGATACAAAGATTGTAAGTTGAATGAATCAACTCATCTCCATTTCCAGATCCGATTAGAAACTCAGAAGAATTTATCATGAAACCTCCTCCACAGGTAGATATCTGCATATGCTACAAAGATTTCATTTTAATTATATTTTTTATTTATTTAACTTTTTATATCTATCAAAAACAGTAGTACGATTTGTCAGTGCAACCCGTAATCGAGTAAAATACTCATATTCGATAAATTCCCTTTGTACTTGTCACTCCTTGTGCGATATGTATTGTTTGATATTTCACTGTCATGCAACTAAAATTGAAGGTAAAATCGAGGCGTCCACGTACAGGCCCATATGCCAATAGTGATTGAGTCAGCGGTGAGGAATTACAAGGTAGAACAATAGTGTCATACTCACAGTTCTTTATTTTAATACAAACACGCTGTAAACATTGATATTCCGCTACTTAGAATGACCTTTAATGTGGCGTTAACAAATTAACCTTTTGTCTTAATTTGTTCTATAACCTTCCTCAAAATTCTGATGTTCAGCATTTATAAACTTTTGTTCGTAATCATGCAATCTATTTCTTTTATAAATTAAAAAACAACGACAGATTTAAGAAATATTAATAAATGTAGCAGTCTAAACTGATAAATTTTAAATAGCTGAGTTTGTGAAACCTTCAAAAGTGTATAAGAAGAAGAATTGATGTGCAGATCTGTGGATAAAACACAAACCTATAATTCCAACCCTTTTCTTGTGATGGCAATGGTCTGCAGTTTCTTCACGCTCCCTGAACTTAACTAAATTGAACATTTTGTTTTCCCCCCAACATTTCGTTTTTCTCTCGGCTTTATTCGTTACATCGCTACTCTTTGAAGTAGTATTGGTATATGTTGTAAGTAAACTTTTATGCGAGTTTTCATCGCTTAAGACGGTCTTTTAGGAATGATGATGATTCTTTTGTATTCTATGAGCCAATATTTTTTGTCGCCAGGCTTTGTGACATTCTCAAATACTAACTTCATAAAGAAGCCTGGTAATTAAACGTGTACAAATGCATAAGTTGTATCTTCTACCTCCGCTGGATACTGGAATTCTGACTAACTGTTACCTGATGCTACCCTTATTTCTTGGTTGTGAGGTGAAAAAATATTAAAACTTACATTGCAGTTTTAGTTTTCAAACAGCATCCTTGTTGTACCTTCTAGTGTGTTTCGTTGTGCTGTTCTTTGTCTTTATACTTTTTCCAAGACTATCTATCCTATCTCCATAATCTTCAATAGTTGAATGTTGTTACTTCTTTCGTTTTCAGGCATTTGCTGTGTACTACGTATATACATTCTTAATAGTAGCTTTCACCACACAGGGGATATTGTAAGTGTACACGGTGAGATATCCATCAATGATTCGTGCTCCATTTTACTTTTAATTCATAGATGGCATTATAGAAGTTCCGCTTTCTTAATGTGACTATTGATCTCCTCTCAAGATATTCTCTAATTAAATTAGAGTATGTTGATGACTTATCGTGTTACGTGAAGATGCTGACATTTTTTAACACGATGAGATATCTAGATACTGAATAAGGATCAGGTGAGTTACTTGAAAGTTCACCCTGCCCTCTTACGTAACTGCGAAACATGACCACTGAAACTGGAGGGCAACTGTTGTTGTTTTCAGAGCAATTTCTTTTCACAGTTAGTGCTGATAATGTTACTGAACCTGGTGGTTAAACGAAAATGTGAAAAGATCAAAGCTCATAGAACACTGAACCATAATCATCTTTATCTTGAGCTCCAAATCTTCTCCATCATTTCAAAATATATGCAAGGTATAAAATGCTAAGCTTTTTCAAATAGGATAACTCGTCAAATATTTTTGAACTAGGATATTTTTCCTCCGAATCATAGCTTACTTAGCCATTGAGTTGTTTAGAGTTAATTGAGTTCTTGCATCAAATCATGAGGCTTCAAACAATTCTGAGAATTAATGACACCCTGAAACTGTTTCTATTATTTTATAGTTGTAATGACTTCTTCCCATAGTTTTATTACGCTAAATTCATGCATTTGTTTTAAGATTGCTGAATCACAGCAAAATAACTTGTAGGCCAATCGGTATGGACAGTGGTCTCTATTAGGGGACTGTTGCTCTTAGTCTTAAAAACGTTGTGCACGGTCGCTTGTAGTTTCGTTGTGCACATATGCAGAATCTTGTTTAAGCTAGTAAAAACATGAATGAGTTCTGCGGTATCTTTAATTAAAGGTAAGAATGTCCCCTGCAACTGTACTAAAATCTTTTAGATCAAAGAGTTACAAAATTGCGTCAAATTCATCCAATTGTGACATCGAGTAACTGCTTCTGAATTTACTCAGGAATGTTCTGCTTCTTATCAGGTTTGATTTTCAATAAACCACTAAGATTTTGACAGTAATGTGAAGATTTTCATTAATAAACTGATTAGTTCTGATATCCAATGATAATTTATTCAATTCACAATTCAATAAATTTGCTAGCTATTGCATCACTTTATTTGTAGTTTAGATGTAACAAAACAAGGCTGTTCCATCATTTTTAACCCTATTTCCGACTTGATTTTTAATTTTCGAAGGGTACAACTATTCACTGTCGCATAACTCGGGACAAAGGAGGTGTTGACCGTGGTATTTATCCTTCATATTACCTTCATCTGGAAAGGGAAGATCTCAAGTTTTTCTTACTTGCAGCTAGGCGGCGTAAACGATCAAAAACTAGCAACTATGTGATTTCTTATGATGCTACTGATTTATCTCGTGATGCAGTCAGTTTAGCTGGTAAACTACGCTCTAATTTTCTGGGCACTCAGTTTACTGTATATGGATGTAAATTTAAATCATCAGACAATGAATCTCTTAATCCAGAAAACAATGTACATGATTTGATCTGCCTCCAACAAAAACGAAAACGCAAAAATTGCAAGAGCTGGCTGCAGTTGTATATGTAAGTTTTCCTGTCAGTGTTTTTAATTATGACAATAAAAATAATACATTTCATCTTGCACTAATCCATATGACTTTCTTATAATCAGTTTGGAGGTTTTAGGGGATTGATTGATTTCAGAATATCACGGACCGACGTCATTTGTAAAACCGTTGATCTTTAAATAAATCAGTATTCATTCTCGGTCCTGATGTATCAGCTCGTCCATCAAATCTGAATGAATGGATCCTATCTTAATTAGATCTATGAATGACTACTGGATGATAAGGTGGTAACCAATATAGCATTTAGTATAATAAAAGCTTCAAATCAGTGTGTATTTTCAAAATGAACTGAATCCTATTTAGGTAAGTTTTAATATAATCTCAGCATGCTTAGAAAATCGAAAACAAGATTTTTTTCAAACGTTTCGCTGCGTATGCTACAACTTCATTAGAATATCTAAACACGCTGGGATTATATTAAAACTTACCTATATAGTGAATCAACCTGACTCGGCGCTCAACTTTTTCAGAACTGAATCCTAGTTTGAAGTTGAAATCGTTGATCATATTTCAGGTCACTATTGTTTGTTCAGTCGCTTGATTGCGAATATTTGCAACTTCAATTATTAACAAATGACAGCATATACCGATTAGGGAAATCTAATCAAGTAAAGTGAGCTCTAAATCCTAGTGAATTATTAAGGCGAAAAAAAACATGATAGCAGTGTAGTTTAAGATAACACCATTTGTTATTGCCAGTTGTGTGTTCCACAAACATGTGTAGAATCCTGGTAATCATGTCTACAGTTCAGAAAACTGTTTGGAACCCGAAATCATGCAAAGAGGCAGAACCTCACAGTTTTCTGCCTGAAGTTTTCAAAGATGGAAGTAGGAAATTGGTAATAAGATTGACGGAGGTACTGCGTAGTGTATGGTAATCAGAAGTAGTACCATCAGGTTGTTCTACCTCACTGATCATCCTAGTTCATAAGAAGGAAGAGAAGTTTACTTGTGATAACCATTGGAGGATTAGTTTGACTTATATTGTGTCCAAGATCCCAGAGTGCATAGTTATCTGACGTCTAACTGGTGCTCGAGAACAGCTAAGTCGAGAAAACTAGGCAGGCTTCAGACACGCTAGACGGGGATGCATCTGCCATATTTTCACCCTCCGACAGGTTCTAGAACACACGCTTATCTACCGACAGCCGACACTTGTCATATTTCTTGACCTGAAGGTGGCATTTGACTCTGTCGACTGTGAAGTTTTGTGACAGTGTCTGACTGTGAAAGTATACAACGCCAACTAAGACTCTACTCGAAGTCACGTAGCCATGTAAGGTCTAATGGAGAGTTGTCATGTGAATTGTCGAAAACTACTGATGCTCGGCTCGGCACGAATGTCCACTGTCATCCTTCCTATTTAACTCCGTCACAGACATGCTAATGGACATAACCTCGGGTACGTCAGACTTTACAGCGATTGATCTACTCTCCGGAGGCCATCTAGTTGACTTCGAGTATGCAGACGATATTGTCGTGCTGGCTGAAGACGCTGACGAAACACTAGATATTCGGAACACTTTGAGCAAAAATCTGAGTGTTTGGCATGCGTTTCGCTGACACCTGTCAAAACCAACATGATGCTCCAGGACTGGTTCACTGCGAGTACTCCGGTGGCCTGCTTGGACTTTTGACTACCAATGAACTTTTCAACGAGATACATAATATCGAATTCCCCCCTTTCAGTTTGTTTCAGTCTCTCAATTATGTTCTCAAAATATATCGCCTACTCTAGCAGGTTTCTAAAATGTTCTGAACTAGTCATTTTTCGAAGTAATGACAAAACGAGGGGGAAATGTCATATGAGACGGAAATGGAATTTTGAACGCAAGAAAATGCAAAATGTTTCTTTTTCTCGATACCTATCTCGGGTAGTACATTCTTTTACTGGCTCAGTGAACCACCAGTGTTAGATACCGTACGTTAATCCAGCACAAACCTGCTGCATCACATTATGACCTGTGATGCTATTATTATGAACACCATTCAGATGCAGTGATCATCATTTGTTTTAAAGATTATTTTGGAGGTGAATTTGTTAATTCACTACATGCTGAGAATTCCATACTGGATCACACATTGTTTGGAATAAAGCCATTATCATTATCATCATCTTAATGGTAGGGAGTGAAGTGGTGGAATGTGTTCACCACTTCACGTACTTACGGAGTTGCATCGCCCCGAACGAGGTGGCTGCTGATGAAATCTCAGCTCGGATACAGAAGGCCCGTTTGGCAGTTGCCAACACGTGTCACTACTGGAGAGATATTTGGCTATCTATATATCTGTCTGTCAAAAACGAGTGTTCTGCACCGCACACCGTTCTGTCCTGTTGTACAGCTGTGAGGCACAAGCGTTAAAAGTAGAAGATACGAAGCGATTAGTGGGTTTTGCTCACAGGTATTCGCAGATCTGCTGGTGTTTAGTAGAATCACTGTGAAGCAGTGTTGAAGTCAGGCGAAGGGTACTAGGCAAGTCGATTGATGAGGTTGCTAAGCTTCGCGTTGTGAGATGACTTGGACACGTACTGCGCATTCCGAACCACCACCTACCTCGATGTGCCATACTAGGGGAAGTTAGATTAGGTGGGAAGAGAGTTAAGGGTGGCCAGACGAAGATGCTGCACAAGCCGATGAAATTTTTGACTGTTCGCCCCAACCATGTGGGAAGATGTAAACTGTCTCATTGGGGTTTCTGAGACGATAAGAATCAGTGGTTGATGAATCTTGGTCACAGCTGAAAAGGAGTGACAGTGGCGCATCTGTACTCAGTTTTTAACTACTTCTAAAGTTTTATGTTTACTTTAACCGTTATCTTCAGATTGTGTATTCTTTTACACTACTTCTTCTTGCACGACTGTGATATGTGGCAACTTGGGCTGGTGCGCATGTACACGAGGTTCTACGTCATTGTGAAATGTTTTAATGATTCGCAGACAAAGACTTTGGTACTTCGATTTCGTACTTTGATGTTACACAAGTATTAGTGAATAGCAAACGTTAGAGTATGGTTCCATCTTTTTGAAACAAAAAGTTACTTGTCACTTCGTCTTGAGGAATTTTCTAACATCCCTGAGGTTTTTACTTTATTCTGGTGATGTTTTGATATTTTCAAAAGGCATAGTTAAACCTTATATTACATCTCGTAGTACTTCAGGCTGGACTTCTACAGTCTCATTCATAGTATCGTTATTTTGTAGGCATTAGGAACCGGTAAGTCCGTGCAGTGTCAGGCCTTCCGTATTTTAAAATCGCAATCCGGTATCCCATCTTTGTAAATTATTCATTCTTTCAAGGAGTAGTTTCTGTTACAGATGTGCGGCTTGACAATATTGTCGGTCGTGATCCATTTATCCTTTTGTGACATCTTAACTTCAGAAAGTGTAGTTATGGCTTATTTTTCGATCCAAGTGTAATTACGTTGTGCAAAAGTTGACGTTTGGACGGCATGAATGAGGACTGTATGTGGGAATTCGCGGTACTACAGTAGCACTACCATAATTCAGTCCATCGGATGTGGCCGGGAGTGAAGTACAAATCATCGGTAGGTAACACCTGTTGACAGTCACCGAACCAATTCAATCTTCAACAATAATTCGCTTACGAGGCTGGGTAGGTGAAGATCAAGTAAAAAAAAACAGTGGTGAATAACTGGACCTGGGAATGAATTTAGTGTCGTGATATTTATCGGATATTTCGATGCTTAAATATAAGTTGGGAATAGCTACCTCTAACGTTTGTTGACAATAAATGCAGGACTACTTACATATTCAGTACAAAATTCGTATTTCTCTGCTCAATCGTGAAAGCCATAACCTACTATGCATGCTAGACCAGATCGGTTTCCCGATCTATATATGCGTTTTCGGAATTATTCCATCCAAATATGCAGTTGTGCCAAGGATATCAAGTAGCATCGAGTTCACAACTTATTGGAAAGTATCTGAGCAATTTTTACGGTGAATGTATCTGAGAAATCATTCGTGAGTATTGGTGGTTAGAGGTTCATTAAACTCCTCTGCTAATAAAGTTCGTTGACATGCGTCTGAAGGGTCCAACTTTGCGAGAAATTCACTGCTACTTAGTCCAGGAAAGGGATCTATAAATGCTGACAATAAATGTTGCTACATCGGCTGAAGTGGGTAAGATATGTATCGTATATGCTGAGCCATCGTTTACTTTGATGTGTTCCGTTAGCCAAAGATATCTCAGGATGAAGGGTCTTGCCGAAACGACTGATAACCAGTCACAATAATACAACTTTGAGCAATTGTACTAATCATCACTTTTTTTTACCTACTTTACCTGTCATATGTGATAATCCGAAGTTATACACCTTTTTTTAGGCTAGCTTTTCTGCCTGTCTTCATCGAAACAGTTTCTGATTAGGAATGAAATCGGTGTTAAGTTGCGAGTCCTGCGTACTGACTTAATCCCGTAAAAACACAAAAGTAACCTTTGACACCCTCTTGTTTTAGAAGAATTTGTTTGATTTACGTAGCGGCTGTGAACCATATAGATCATAAAATATGACGTGATGGAAAAAAACTAGATGAGTTACTTCAGACTCGTTATTACAGGCAAGAGAGGTAATGTCAGTTGATATGACTCTTAAGCTGTACGAACTGAGGTGATGGGATCACTGAGTACGCATGTCAGCACTGTGGAAAAAGTTAAGAGCAATCGACAAGAAACATTGGCTCGTCCACCTATGATCTAAGCGTCTGGAGTGAACGATTCTTCAAAGCATGTTTTTGACTGAAATGACTCAACATCGACCATAGTGGGCCAGATCTATTCTTCTTCAAGACATCTGATTAGATTTCATTTGTGCATCCCTCCTCTTGTCATGTGTTTCTTTCTGTATGGTGTTCAACTATCTTTAATTTTAAAAACAATTAGTGCATCATGGTATAGGTTTCATAGTGATTCTCAAAAACATTTATAAGATGTTTATTTCACGCGATGTAAAACTACTGCAAAGGAATACCAGTTCACAACGTTTCTTTATTTACTTTTTAGGACACCAACGTACTGGGTTTCAAAGGGCCTAGGAAAATGACCGTCGTCTTACCACGTACCACTGAAACGACTCACCCCTTTTCCTCTGCAAATGTATGTTTCAACTTATTATTCATCATCGAGGTTAAATAAGTGTGTGGTTTTTTTCATTTCCAACGTCACCTCCTCATATAGCTTCCTCAATTTCTTACTCTAACGATCCAAACAACAAAGCAGTATCTGTAATCCCCCAAAAACTGTACTGGTGATTTTACATTAGAGCTTTTAACGTTCTAACTTTTATTTTGAATGGGAAAACAAGCCTCATTTGGCGGAACGCTGGAATCTGTAGCTATGGTCAAGGACTGCGGTGTTTTCATCACCTCGACGATTGCAAAAAAAACAGCGGTTAAGCCTCTGTATGCTCTACTGAAAGATGAAGATTTCAAGTGAGCATTCAGGGAGGAACTAGTTGAGTCTTTATCAAAACCTGTCATCAATTCTTTTGATGATGAAGGCGAGTGTGATATCAGTCTGCCGTAGGGACAGTTGGTAGCTTACATTCAGAGACTAGCAAAAGCAAGTGTATTTTCGCGACCTCATCCAAATTGGAAGACGCAAGAAAACTCATTCAAGTTGATTGCAATGATGAATGGTGAAAACGGAAAGGAGATGAAAGTCACCAGCACCAAGTTGACGTTTGGTTGTTATTACAGTAACTGGTCGGTGAGACTATCGCCGAAAAGGATAGGTCCCCGATAACCTCTCGAGACGTGGCATTTGATATTGGCTATTACACGTCACACTTTAAAACCGAGTAGTGTTTTTGATTGGCTCCATGTTTTGCTATAGCTACTTTGATCTGACCAACCAACTAGTGTCAAGCCCTTCACTATCGTATCTGCTTAAACAATTAATTTTCAAGCAATGAATCACAATCTCATACTTCTTCGACCTGTCCGAAATAGCAGTATCAAAAACCTTACTGTTTGAAACCTCTACCGCGGTGAGTTACTTTGCTAGATTAGTTGATACGTATTTTTGATCACAAACTCACGCCGAGATCCAGTTTTCGAGACTGTGAGCCTACCCTCGAAGTAGTATCAAAAACACATGAATGCTTTTTAAATTCCCTTTTAAAGCAAAACTCGTATCTAATTGATTCATGGAAGCGCAAAGACCTACAGAACACCCTTCAACTAAAAAACAAGAACCCTGTATGGAATGAAGGTGAGTCTATTTATGCACTTATTTCATTAAAAAACCACCCATATTCAAAATGAAGCACAGACTTCTTATATACCCAATGTATATATCATGTAAGATTTACTCATTATCGTTGTCTACAAGTAGCAATTACTGTTCCAAACAGAAATCTTTATACATCAGATATGTAGGCGACTCAAAACCTCTTTGCAGTAGCGCTGGGAACAGGCAGAATGCAAATTTCAAGAATCTAAGCAGTTCAAAAAAGTTTGATTTCTAAAGCCAATGGCCACATCAATGGTAAACTGTTGTGTTCTACTCATCGTTCACAGCCCAATATTGTCTTCATTTTGCTCTCGATCACTGTTTATCTAATGTTTTTATTGTGTATAGTGCAAATTTATATTGCGATTTGTTAACCCTCTTTATTACCAAGCTCTATGTGCTGAAAGGTTATCATTCGATTTTCTTAGTTTAGAACAATCAGGACCCTAGCTCCACACTTATGTTTGTGCTCAACGGAAACATGTTTTTTTAATAGTTGTAGGCTAAAATATACAAAATTGTTATTTTATAGCGGTATAAACTGATATCATCGTTAAACTCTTACTGTCTTCTCTAATACACCAGTGAATATTTTCTATCGAATTTCTCTGTTTTTTTCAGAAACGCAGTCATATGTACTTAATTTTCATGGTCGCGTTACACAAGCGTCGGTGAAAAATTTTCAAATTGTACATGAAAGTAATGGTAAGGTTCATTGTTTTACCTTCAGTAAAATATCTGATTCACGTTTGCCAGTGATAATAGGTTGAACACCATATACCTGGAAATACTCAAACATATTTAAAATATTTAAGACCATGCGACATTTCGAAAAGTTTCTATTTAGAAGCATCAAGTTCCTTCATTCCATTTGGGAAGACTAGTTTCTTCTGATTTCTTTACGAGGTGGATATAAAGTCTTGGACGCAACGATTATGTTGCGCTTAATAATTTGTCAGGGACTTGCTGAACTTTGTGAACTAGGATGCAATATTTTTGCCTTCTGCTTGATTCTAGCTAAACCGAAATAGGTCAGCAACAAGTATTCGTTTCCCATAACAGAGATTACAAAGTATTAGTTATTAGTACCTGACATAGTCTAGTGACTCAGAGTGTGGGCTCGGAAGGAATGCTCGTAGTCAATCTAAACGCAACCAGCATCAGAAAATGTTGCACCGGACTTGATTCTATACCAGTAACCTTTAGACACGAACTTTAACGGTTAGATGGAAAACGATACTTTTAACTGAAACATCCAGTTCAGCACTTACAAGTTGGAGGAATATATTGATTGTTTGTCATTTTTCTCTTCAGATGAATATATCGTCATGCAGTTCGGGCGAGTTTCTGAAGACATATTCACAATGGACTACATGTACCCTATGTGTGCTTTACAGGCGTTTGGAGTTGCTCTATCCGCACTGGACAGTAAATTGGCATGCGAATAGTAGGTATTTTATGCTACCTTAAGTGATTTCCAGTCGCATTACATTACCAAGGTTTTGTCAAGGTAGAAAACGACGTAATTTTATTCTTTTCTAGTCAATAAGTCTGCATTTACTCAAAGTGTAACGATTAATTTTAAATTGTTATGGTTGTGTAAAATGGAAAAGTTATTTTACTGTAATATATTGCATGTTACAAAGTTGATATCAACCTGTATTTTGTATATTTGCCTCTCAACGTTACACAATTTTGGTGGTTTGGCAGCCTTACTGAACTGGTAACCAATTAGGAAACATTTACTTCTGAACGGTAACAGAGATGAAGTTGCATTGAAATGAAATGAGCTGTCTACTGAGCGGACTAATTGCAGTTATTCACTATGTTTTCGAAAGTAAGCTGAGCATTAATCCTAAAATGTAAGAGTTAAAATTTTTATGATGCAAAACAATACTTAACGGTAGTAATTTTGTAAATACAAACTTTAATTAACACATGATATTCCAGTAGAAAACAATAACCAAAAATTTCATGCTGATTTGCATTATTGTATTGAAAGGTCTCAGGAAAGTGAATAAGCGTTTATTCGACAACTAATGGAAAATTGCCAGCAATGTCAGATTTCGCTTCTTCACTTGCGTGCAGCGCACACTATAACTAAAAAGAAGTAAATAGTTATTTTACGTGAGTGCCTCAGGATACACATCTGAGCATCCGAAGTGCAGTTAGTCAAAAAAGGCCACAGATACTATGAATACAGTCGCCTCCTAATAGTGATTCTCATAATCTCGGACCGGTAACATTACCCGTTAAAACCATTTATGAAAGTATTTAAACAGACAACTGGTTGTGGGATATTACGTGGGTAACAATGCAGGGGGAGAACGACCGTAGCAGTCGAACGGGGAGGCTTGGTTACGAATACCTACTTACTCGATGACTGATTTGCGTTTTTCACCTAGTACCTTCGACTTAAGCTCATATGTTGATTCTACAATACACGGACAATGCTATGAAGAAGCTTATAATCGAAAACCTGTAGCCTCTTCACATATTTTTCTTTTAACGAACACGTGTCAGTCATATTTTATAATTCGAACACAAACACGGTATAGCAAGGGCACCAAGAAATGAGACACCAAAAGTAGTATAACGTGTTAGCATAAACGACATGATGTTTATAAGAAAGAAAACCAATAATAGGATGAGCAGTCAAGTAAGGTACATTAGAAACAAAACATTCATTACTTTTCAGATAGAAGGGAGCTACAGCATGATCACCACTGGTTTCGATTCTGAGCCATGTCTGACATCGTTCCAAGCAATTGAGTTGCGCGGCTTCTTGGACCCTATCCAGGGAGTCGTGATGCACCAACCGATGCTAGTGCAATACAATTATCCTTCATCCCAAGACGCCAGGTCATGCACTGACCGCCCCCTCCGCTTCCACCTAGGGCTAGCAAATGATGAAAGCCGTCGGGACGAGCCACCGAAGTCGGTGATTCCAGGTGACCTCACTTATTGAGTGGTGATCTCCATCACGAACAAACACTCGTACATTAGAATTACTTACATGGTGTTGCCACCGGATACGAACAATCCTACGAAGACAACGACGACCGAACCCACAGTCGTCGCACACCCTCAGCTCGTATAGTAGGGTAGCGGATAGCAGTGCAGTACAGTTGACCTTCAATTACTAGTCGGGTGTCTGGCCGACAACGTAAGTGGCTAATGCCAAACGAGCCTTCTGTATCTAAGCTGAGATTTCGTCACCAACCGACTCGGTTAGGCTGATGCAAATTATCAGGTAAGTGAAGTCGTCAACACATCCTATCACTTTACTCTGTCTCTGAACTAGGTTTCGTTGCAGACAGGTTCCAAAGCATCATCCTACATCTCTGAGGTACCTACGGTTACACTAAGCAGGAACGGTGAGCACTGCTGGTGAACACCACTGGTTGTCGCCAATCTGGACAACTCTGCATACCGTACACGTCACCATGAGTTCGAGTGGAGAGCTTTGATCAGGACTTATTACTTGCTCTGCAATCAGATACTGTCAATCGACAAAGTGCGACCTTTAGGTCAATGTATACGTGTTGGACACTAATAAGTATGCCTGCTTTCCCAAACCTGTTGAAGGCTACAGATCTAACTAATGCAAACTCGTTCGGGTCTGGGACCTGCCTGTTCTTTTCTGGTCCTTTGTCCTAGGGATCTACATAGCACCAACTGCAACGCGATATTCAATCTGCTGTGGAAACAGCGCTATGGAGTTAGCAACTTATACTTAAGGTTAATAAGACCAAGTGGGTCTCTTCAGCCTTACGTGACCTGACTAGTACGATAAGACACATTGCAGTTCGCTCTGACCAACATAAAGTGTGCAACTAACTCAATAGTAAACTGACTGAAATTGTTCAATGACCGCGAGCATATGACAGTGGCCATTTAGCTTAACGGAAGCGACTGACTCAAAATATGACAAGCAGTAAGGAACAGAGCAGCTAGACTATGCACATGTTTTAGCTACTCAACACCCAACCCGAAAAAGAATGGGGTGCAGGTGTTCCAAAGTTGAGAAAAATGATAAAAAGAGATACCAACGTAGGACCTGGGGTCGAATGACATATGTTACATCTGCCGCATTTCGCAGCAGCATTTAAATAACAAGGTGAAAAACGAATGATATCAAAGTAAACAAAAGAATAAATTAATTCACATGAATATGACCAATTCCCAGTCTTATTTCCAACAACTGATTCTTATCGTCTGTTGGACCGAGAACTAGGTCACGCCGTTTACACCTCCCTACATGATTTACTTCGACAGTCAAGGGTCGGTACTGTATTTCGGCCGGACTAAACTTAGTTTTCTTCAAAACAATCCTACTTCCATTGAAACTGCATATTGAGGTAAACCGTGACTTAATGTGTGCGCATCTTTTCAATTGTAGGAAGCAGCTTTAGTATCTTAGGTCTCAAGGCAGTAGTTGAGTAGGTTGCAATGCCATAACTAAGTTATGAAAGGCAAGTCGCTATATTCTCATATCCTGGAACACGACTTTGCGGCCAAGAGAATTAACTTATAGCCGTTTTGAAAATGAATAATCATAACCCTAGGAAATAATAAAACGGTCAAGACAATAACACCACAGGGATTACAAATAAATGCGGTAAAGACTTACATTCGGACTTTTTCTGTATTCTGAGATTAATTTCAGACCTTTGTTCCATGTACGCGTCACACCCGACAGAGTAGCACAAGGGAAGCAGATTATAAGTCCAACAGAACCGCTTATTGAAGAATAAAGTATTTTCCGAGGGACTCCACCTACAAGCTGTTCAGCTGTAAGAAGAATATTTTACCTTTATATCCTAATATCCATCCTCCCAAACCACAACTAGCGACAAACGCAAAACGGCTCAACAACACTGGCTTGTCCCGAATCGTATTGATGACAGCTAATTACAGATAACAATGTTATAGATTGCTTACAGTTACTAGTTTCACTCCATTTGGAGTGGTAATCCATAAACCGTTCCTTTTTAATAAAACATGCATTTTAAATAGGAACTAACCTTAGATTTCGTGCATACATCTTGTATGGCTGTCCTCGCAGGGGTAACATAGTGTAGGAGGGCATCTTCGAGCGAATTCGGCTTTCTTTGTTTCAAAAAATACTTAGTACCACCTAGACATTCAGTGTAAACAGGTAACTGCACACCATAAAAGAAAGCCGCCACCCATTACCTCGTCACGCTTCATCACGCCCGCCTTCGTTTAAATGGTTTCAAACGGTTGATAATGGAATAAACGGCTTTCACCTAACTGGCTTCCACGTTTGGAGGCAGTGTACTAAAAGTTTCCTCGATCTTACCTCGCATACAAATAAACAGAGGAAAAGATTGTAGTTAAAATGGGGAGGGTGTTTTCAGAGAGCCCCTAACCGCATCGTAAGCATTTGTCGCGCATGCATTTTAAAAATTCAGGGGAAGCAGCCTAAACCACTTCCGCAGTAACAGGGTGCCAAAATTTGACAACTACTGTGGAATAGGAGTTGTGCTTGATATCTGATCTGTTATGTTCATATGCTTGTCCTCTAGGATTAAATGTTGCAAATCAAGGTAAATAAGTCACAGAGTGTGTGTTTAGGGTATTGCAGGCCATTGCCAAATGCCTTCTTGGTTTCTGACATATTTTAGGATATAAATCATAAGCTCTCCCTCGATCACCATTTGATTAAAGCTAAGTCCTCGGACGTATTTGATCGACTGTCTGCAGATGCGTTCTTGGCAGTATTTGGTTTCTGAAGGAAGAGGGTGGGGAGACTACAATCAGGAAATCCAGGTGGAACCATCTGTAGCAGTTGAAAGTCTGGTGGAGGCATTTATGATGCAATGGCCCAAAAATTCTTCTGGGAGCTACTAGTACCAGATTTTCGAGACGTGCGTTTGTTACAACTGGCATATAATTTTTGTGGGACCAAAGAGCATAAATCCTTTCGTATACGTGACGCTCCTAGCCCCATGCTGCTGATGTCACATAACGTGTTTCTTGTTTCGCATGTTTTACCCTGAATTTTTAATAGATAAGTGTAGTCCGAATGCTGGTTTCCCAGTTTTGACGTCGGATTAAGTTTCCCTATGAGAAACACTATCTTCCTGACTTCTGATTTTTCCTCATAGCATCGTGTCATCGACGAAAGGGAGTACTTCGCAGGAAGCCTTTTGAGGCAAGTCATTCTTGTATATTAAAGAGGGAAGAAGCCCTGATACTTAATCCTATAAATCTCCAGTTTGACATTCTGTTTCTTCTGATGTGGGGAAACTTACTGGGGCTGTAGGTAAGTGGCCACTCAGATTTGACGGCACCCAGTGGATCGGCTGCGATTTTATCGCAGTCAGTTTGGCTTAACGGCAGAGCAGCCGTGATAGATAGCATCAAGCGCTCTGGAAAAGTTTGGATAAATAATGTTAATTCTACCTCAGGGGTCGACAATACTAGGCCATCTGTTTAATGTAATTAGTAATCTCTTCTAAATTCGTGTTTCTGAGACATAAAGAAGCCGCCGCCATGGGATGATCCCTCATTCCGTCAAAAGCCAATGACCCCATTAATTTAGTAGGTATGGGTGACAGTCACTCATCTGTAAATAAAAAACCAGTGTTCCCACTCAAAACGTTTCGCACAAGGGACGGTAGTTCGCAGGCATCTTCGGGCTGATAAAAACTGTGATACTGTTAGGGTGTGTTTATATCTTCGGGTTGTTTTGCTGACCTTTTCCGGAGACTGGTGTTACGCTACCTAGCCTCCATAAGGGTGGGCACTTTACCTCGACTGAGGGGATCCCTGAATGACGCACTCATGGATTAGACCAGGGTTGACGCCTCTTTCTGCAGAACCACTGCACAGATTCCCTCAGATTATTGAAAAGCATCCTTTGCAAGCACTAGCGTTTTGCATTGTATCGTCTCAGCGCTCAGGTGGGTGACAAAGAGCAGCACACCGTTAGTGGGATATCCGTAAACTCCTGAGTAAGCGGTTGATGATCAAAGGTTTGCGAATGTTGACTAATCAGAAGTTTTGCTGCTTCGGTGTCCGTCCTAGTTAACCGATTTCTTCTAGCATCCAGTTTCTGTTTCACGAGCTCGTATTAACCATTTCGTTCCTTCCCGCCCGCCTGCGGGTACCTACTACAGTGCCTACAGAACATACAGGCACGTGTTTGTAGCGGTTCCAGTAAACCCGAGGGCGGCTTGGGCATTGGTTAAATTTTCAAGAAAATCCACGATTTGTCTTGGAGCCATGTTGTGGACAGGATTTTAAAATTCTGTGTCGCCAGAAAGTTGTTCGATCCCCTTGTACAAGAGAGGAAGCAAGATTTAGGGGATAACAAAAAAACAAAGCGGTAGTGGGGTAAATTAAAAGAATTGAAACTTCGAGCGAGTATGCGGAGGAAAGAAAGAAAACCGTGGTACGGAAAATTTAAAGGGACAGGGGTGCGCTGCTGTGGATGAGAGACGGAAATAAGCGGGAAAGATCATATTGATTATTGTGGAAATAGCAGTCACGACGATATTAAAAACAAGAGAATAACTGGAGGGAAAAGAAGCCAAATAGATGGAGGGGGTGAAAGACAGCTGACACAAAGGTGAAGCAGTGCGTTGAACTGGTGTGACGCCAATGACGTGTTGCAGCCCAGTCTGGCTCTTAGTTAGATGAGGCCGATCCATTGGGCACTGCGTAACCGAGTAACGCTTTCTTGAATTTGTCGGTAGATGGGGTGTTGGCTACCTCAACAAAAAAATTATTTCAGCGGCCGCAGACTTATAGTGAGAGAAAATGAGGTCTTTAGGATATGGCCATTTAGTGTGGGACTCCGTTTCGGTTTCCAAAAAATTGACAAGGAGACTTACAAGTAGCACTGTTCCGTACAGATGACCCAGGTTGCTAGGTATCTCACAAGCTGTTGTCAAGTAATATTTCATCCTGCGGTAACTGAGTTAGGCGTACGTGTTTGGTTGTCCACTCATGGTTTCTGTCACATTCCTGTGGCTTTCTGTGGCTTACCACTAGACTTTACTCGAGAGGTACGTGTCTCCTCGGATGCAGGGATGCAACGACACTTTGAACAGCTATGTGAGGTTGTGCGTAGTTCTCGTTAAGCCCAAGAAGGATAGACGGAGTGAAGTCAATAGGATACCTTCGCATGAGGTGCAGTACAGTGTATGCTGTATATTTCTCCTGGTAGGATCTGGGTTGCCAGCCAGAGGTGAACCCAGGTTGTCGTCAGTACTTGCGCGGGAAAGGTGTGCATCTTAGAGGCATTCCAAGAATCAAGAGTATGGAAAATACACTTCCGGCAATATCTAGGCTGAACACTTTTTTCTGAGGTTTGTGTTGATGACGTTTTGTCGAATGAAAATGAAAGCTTTTCGATCCATCACACAGAAAACAACACGAAAATAAATATCAGTCCGTTATCTTCCACCAGCTCTTCGAACACCTGGAAGTTGTTTTGTGGCGTACCCGAATTCCTTATGGATCTCAAAGTCCTGAATATCTTTAAGTGACCAGCGTTCATTGACACTAGAGGATTGTGCCCCCACACGAGGCCGTTCAAAATACCAGGAAGAGGAACGGACTCAGAACTGTTCACCGATAGTGCCCTATAGGCTGCGTACTCTATTGACTTTCCGAAGCACCGTCGGTCACATGAACAGTTCCAATAGCCGGGATATCACCTGAGGGCTGTAAAGTTTTCCATGGAAGCCTGGTGTGAAATACCTGTTTGAGCTGCTTGGTGAGTTCCGGAGGAATCACATGAGGAGGGACCTCGATGTTTCGACGTGTCGTTCAGCTGGCACAGGCTGGCAGATGACTGAAATAGCGGGACCTAAGATTCTGGAAGCAATTTCGGTTACCTCTCAGCGCTTTGCTACCGTTTAACTATTCCCTGGTGTGTTCATCTATTGAATTTTCAGTTACTTTTGCCAACAGGGGTTGGAAAGCTGTCAGGTGAGAGGATTTTGATTATCTGTCTTCTTTTTTGAGATGACAAGGAGTGGCAAGCTTCCACTTCCACAACTGATTGAGTTTATGATGACGATAGTAACCATGACAATAAATTTGAACGTAAACTGGTCAAAAAATGGACTGGATGGCTTTGAAAAACTGAGGAATCACGGTGGTATGATTCACTACATAAAGTAAATTTATGCTTGTGTAATTTGGGTGAAGTATGTTAAAACATGTAACAAGATGAACAAAAATTTTCACATTGTTCACAATAGTTTCGATCTTAAATATTAACCCGAAAACCTAATATTAGATTCATACTCATGAATAGGACCTTCCCAGCAAGATCGAAACATTGAGGAAGAGTACACAGTACTTGTTGATTTCACCATTTGTTCCAATATACTACCCCAGGATTGCCTAGGCAAAAGTTCTTCTTGTTAAGTAATATCAACCGTTTATTTCTGAAACGGAATCGAACCACTTTGCAGGCTATGGCACTGGTACAGTATGGCTAATTAACACAAAATAGAAGTTAGTTTTCATATTTTTCACTTAAGAAACCATACTTAGACTTTGAATGAGATATGCACTCGTATCCTGGTTATCTGCAGTGGGTCAAAACCACTTAGTGGATGGAAATCAAAACAATAGTTGCAGTGGGGCCAATGTTTTGTGAGGGGCAATGAAGGTTGGAACCTGGTAGAAGGTTTACAGACCAAGACAAGTTACTGTCTAACCAAACAAAAGACTCATAATTATCAATACCGTAAAGGTCTGAATGCATTGGAAGTTTACCAAGTACAAGAGTAGCAGGCTAGTAAACTGTGATGGTGTAAGATATCGGTTTCCTTGGATATCTTTATAAAAGATTTTCTAAAAAACCGACGCAGGTTGCGCTTCTTGTCAGTTCGGTTGTGAAGTTTAAGATAATTTTTTCAACAGATTTCGTGGATCATGTAATTATTAGTTAACTTCCATTTTTTGCCAATCCTCCTTGTTAGCTGTCTGGCC